AGTCTCCTTTCGTAGCTTGAATTCAGCATCTTTGTTTCAAGGAAATTGCTCAATGTTAAGCCAAATATGACTTTATGCTGCCGTAGCTACAAAGCCTTTCCCAATGACTATATTGATTGTGATTTCACGGCCTCTTGAGTCTGCCAAGGCTTTCTGGAAAGTACAAAGACACTAAAGGTGCAAATGTGCTGATACAAGCTGGATGTCTGTGTACTGGAGATCAGCGTCAATCTGTAGCTACTGCTTGTGTTTTTTATTGTTCCATACAAGGCACAGTTTACTGTATAACGTGTGGAGCACTTTGGGATGTCCTTCCGACGTGAAAGATGCTATATACTAAATAGAAATAATATTATTATAAGGAGGCTGTCTAGGCACTAGAGACTGTATAGAGAGCAATGAGGATGATGCCTAATGTTATCAGAATGAACTATGAAGAACGATTTGGCAAGCTAGGACAAGTTTAACATTATGAGGGATTGTTGGCCAGGACACTGGGAGAAACTTCTCTTTTCAAGTAGTGCCATGGGATCTTTACGGGCAGAAAGTACCCCCATTTAACATCTTATCTGAAGGACTGCACCTCCATTAATGCAGTGCTCCCCCAAACACTGCATTGCAGTGTTAGCCTAGACTGAGTTGAAATCCCCAATGTAGAGCTCGAACCCACAAAGTTCTGACTTAGAAGCAAGAATGCTTTGAGAATCCTGGTGGGATATTGTGTGCAAAGTAACTGCTGCATTCACCTACAAAACAGACATTTTCAGTGTATCCTGCGAAGCGTTTTGAGATGTCAAGATGGAAGCCATAATCTTTGGCTCTCGTCAGCGTCTAAAATCTCACGGTTCTCACCTCCTCCACCTACCTGACCTCCTCCTAAAGCTCTCCGAACCTGTACGCAACCTAGGCATCAGGTTCGACCCCCAATTATCCTTCCTCCCCCACATCCGGTCCCTCACCAGCACCGCTTTCTTCCACCTCTGACTCATCGTCCGTCTCCGCCAATACCTCTCTCCGAAAGCCGCTGAAACCCTGGTCCGTGCCTTTGTCACCTCTCGGCTGGACTATTCTAACGCCCTCCTCGCCGGTCTCCCCTCCCCTACCATCCATAAAATCCAGATTATTCAAAACTCTGCCGCCTGCATTCTCACCCGCACCAAACTCCGCTCCCCGATCACCCCAGTCCTTGCCAGACTGCACTGGCTGCCTGTCCCAGAGAGGATAGATTTCAAGATCCTCACCCTTGTCTTAAAATCCCTCCACTTCTCTGCACACCCCTACCTCTGTGACCTCTCTCCTCAAAGCATTTCTCTGGTTGCCTTCGTTCCTCCGGGTCTGGCCTCCTCCTTGTCCCCCGAGTCCTCCGCTCCACCCTCGGCGGCCGTGCCTTCAGCCACTATGCCCCAAGACTCTGGAACTCCCTTCCTCACTCCCTTCGTCTCACTCCCTCTCTTCCTATGTTCAGGTCTCTGCTGAAGACCTTTCTTTTCGACTGTGCCTTTGGTCACCTTCCTCCCCCTCCCCCGGCTCAGCCCTGGGATCCGTTACTGTGAAGCGCTCTGAGACGCTGTCCGGCGTGGAGGGCACTATATAAATCCAAGTTGTTGTAGTTGTCTCAAAAAGGTACTGAGTGATAAGGCACTATATCAAATGCAAGGATTATTATTGTTTGACAATATGAACAGAACAAATCCACACCTTCAGAAAGCTTGGTGCTGGTGATGAAATAAATGTTTAAGAGCAAGATAAGCCCATGAAGAAGGAATTCTTGTGTTTTGAGTGAATTTGCTGGATGTTTTCTTTACAAAACAAATCTAACACGAAGGCAAGTGTGTGTGAAGTGCGTGTGTGTTTGCGCGCTTCTACCCTGTATTGGAAAATGTTTTATGCATTCATTAAACACTAACAGCATGTATTTCTTTTATTGCTGACATCTCTAAAGACTGCTGGTACTATATATTAGCCCATTAAATAAACAAACAGCTTACAAACTGGGAGCCTATTTAATTAGGTTCCCCTTCTGAATATTGGTTAGAGAAAAGTAGTGCTACATTTACTCAGTAAGTGCTTGAGGGGAACAAGTTTATAATGTAATCGCTCTATATCCTTGTGACAGTATTTAAAATTGAAAAGGGGTCAAGTTACTGTGTATGTGTGTAAAGATAACTAGCCTGCAATAACAAAGAAGCACCAATATGTCTAGGAAAGTATTGCTTTCATGCTCCGATGGAAGTATGTTAAAATTAAGATGTTTCATAGTCATTGTCTCAAATACGATGGCCAAGTTCGTTCACATCTCAGATTAAACAAGTCCTTTGCAGCTTTCCTGAAACTTGAAGTAATGATTTGTTAAGCACAAAGGCCTTTTTGCCAGGTGTGGTTCGATTTCCGAAACTGTTTATCGAGAGAGGTCTTTGGAGAGATAATAGCAGGTCTAAAGGCCAGAACAAGATCAATAGAAAGTAAATAGCAAAATAAAATAAGAGGAGAGATGTGCCTGATTCTGCGAAGAAAAGGTACTGTTGGTAAAATATTTCATTTAATCTCCTATTTTTAAAGTTCAGGTAAATGTATATCTAAATTTATAATGCTTGTCTAGCATTGAGAATTAAAAGCTTATTCTTTAGTTGGAAAAGTAGCCACTGTTACTGCTGATGGATAGCCATCTGTATATTAATAATAAATAATAATACTTGCATTCGATATAGTGCTTTTCACGTCTTCGAGACGTCTCAGAATATACTGTAAAGTGAATTGACTGTATATTTGTGGACGAAGCACAGCAGTCAATTGCACACAGCAGTGTCCCACAAACAGTCGTGGATTGAGTGACTAAATTATCATTGGTTTTTTTTCCTAAACTCGAGGGATTATTATCAGGCGTGTGGAGCAAGAAAACTTGCTCAAAGTTTCGTCCTGCCGAGAATCGGACCCAGGTCTTTTGCTTGCGAGGCGAGCGCTCTCCACTGAGCTACAGGACTCCACTTCACAAAAATATTAAAAAATATTGTGGAAAATGAAGATATTTCTCTGCGTTTTATTGTCCGACTGTTCGTCTAAGCTTGATTGTTTGCGCCTACATAATCGGCGCATATAGAATAAGCTCACACAGAGTGAAACCTGGTGGAACTGAAAATTACAGTAACTGAGAAGGAGGCTACAAAGATAATTTCATAAAAGATATACCAGACAACCATAACTTTCTGATAATCCGATGCACCAGATTTCCTTAAGATTATTTCATTCTACTGTATCATATACATCGGTGAATTGGATGCCTTGAAGATCTTATTTAGTGTTTGAAACTTTTCATTGTATAAATATTAGCATTCTGTGACATAGCCACATGCTTTCTCTGCTTTGGATGATTACATTCACAGAGGCGGAGGGGAACTTTATGTGGAGCAAATAGGGACGTGTATGCCAAACTATATAACCGATGTAGGACAAGTTGTCAACATTTCTAAGTAACATAATGTAGAGGAAATCTTTTTCTCTTAATGCTAAAATGAAGGCCACTGGTGTATACATAGATATTCCATTAGCTTAAGAGATATTGTACATTGGGATATTGTACAGTTAATTCCTTTCTCCAGTGTATCACTGATGTAGCACTGTCCATCAAACAATTGACTACAAGTCTTGCTGGTTGTCGTCTTGTTTAGAAATGTTTCTGCAATTATGCCTGGTCAATTCAGGGCAATGGGTTCCAATACTGTTAAATGCTAGTTTTCTTTTTTTATGTTGTATGCAAGGTTGAAATAGTGTCAACAAAGCATGCATCTAAATTGCTTTAACCATTTGTTCCAGAGATAGAAACTATTGACTTGCTTAATTGCTTTGCAATTGTTGATTTTCATGTCCTGAAAAACATTTGTACTGTGCAGAACAATGCTAATGAGCGCCCACATGATTTACTAAAGCAAAAGTTCAATTTGTGCTGGTGAAATAAGACTTACAAAGAGGTATTGTATCACAGAATATATACTTTGAAAATATTTTATTGTCTCTGGTGTGAATCCAGTACTGAAAAAGGGAATCAACTACATGAACTTAGCTCAGTTTCTAGCAGTCTTGCTTCTGAGTCAGAAGGTTGTGGGTTCGAACCCCACACATCGGTACTCAAACACTCCGGGATGCTACCTCAGGTGAAGGGCGCTATATAAATGCAAGTTGTTGTTGAGCTTGATATTGTACTCTCCAGTTCAGTAATGGAGAAGTACTGAATTGTCAGAGGTGTGATTTTTCAAATAATTCGTTAAATAGCCTCTGTCTATCGGTCCTTCAGATGAATATTAAAGATTAAGTCGTCCTGAAATGCAAAGCGCTATATAAATGCAATTTGTTGTTGTAAGTGGCATTATTCAACTAATGGCTGTTTTGTGGGACTTGTGGTTCTACATAATGAGTGTTACGTTAGCCTGGGAAAAAAATTGTAATTCCTTTGAAGCTCGATAAGATGTTTCAAAGTCAAAGGCGCAATAATAATAATCATTGATTTGATATAGCCCCTTATCAAGTCTTCGAAACGTCTCAAAGCGCATAACAGAATGTACTATAAAGTGAATTGACTGTAAATTTTGTAAATGTGAAAATTCTTCTCGCTTTACTAACTGTACAGTTGTGAAAAAACATGAAAGCAATGTGTGTAGTCAACACTTTAGTGGTGAAAAACTATACTGGTGCCCAGTTGGACAGCTATTCATTCCTATCTGCATTAATGTCTCCCATTTTAGTTAGAGCAATACAGAAATACAGAAAAATCAACACAAAATCTAAAGAAATTAAGTTCAACCCTCGGGGTAACTATTAATTATGCAACTATTTGGGGCACATTTCAAAGATATTCTAATCACCAGCTTATGTTGAGGTGAAACAGATTTAACGTTTTCAGGATCAGTAGAGAAGTACCGTTTTATTTAATTGCAGTTGTGTCATTACTTGAATACTTTTCAGAGGTTAAAGTGAGATGTTTTAACGCTTAAATATTTTGTTTCCAGCATCATGGGAAGATCAAGAAAACAGCATTTCTGAAGAAGTACGAAAAGGTGAATTTATCAATATTAAAAGTTTTATATTTTGAATTGCACTATTGTTGAAACTTCATGTGTTTTGCTCCCTTCTAAAGTTCACAAATTTTACAGTAATGATTACGTTTTCCAAAATATCAGCTTTACTTTATTAATTGCTGAAAGTAATTAAAGGTCCTACTCCATTATTCTGTTTTAATAATCTAAAACATAAACTTATGAGTGTGGGGCACAGAATATAGTTCTCATTTATTATCTTCTACACATTGTAGAATAATCTTAGCCACTTAGCCAGAATAATGAAGGGCAGTGGTGCCATATAGTTTTTGTCGTGCCTTCAGAAAATGAGAAAACGAAGGCTTTTTTTAAAAAAACACAATTGAGTCCTGGGATCAAATCATAAGTACTGAAATTATACTTTCAACTTGCTATGGATTTGTCTTTGATCTCTTTATCATTTTTTTTCTTCTTTTAGTGAAGATATGATATTGTATCACCACAGGACGGAATTAATTAATGATATGTTTCATTAAAAACAAAATCACATTTTTATTAGTCATAATAATTTTGAAGAGGACACTTTTTCTAGTTCTAACCTCAACCAACAACAACAACAACATTACATTTGTATAGCGCCTTTCACGTCGAGAGGACGTCCCAAAGCGCTGGACAGAGTAAAAAACCGAGCTGGGGTTGGGGGGGTAAGGGAGGGGAGGGGAAGGGGCTGGCTAATGGCATGGTCGAAGAGGAAGGTCTTAAGGCGGGAATTGAAGGAGGCTAAGGAGTGGGCGAGGCAGAGTGACTGGGGAGATGGAATTCCAGAGGTTGGGGGTAGAGTGGCTGAAGGCTCTCCCGCCAATGGTGGGTTGGGGGACGTGGAGCAGCCAGAGCCGGCTCAGCAGGGGGAACTGGCGGGTTGGTAGAGGGTTAGGAGGTCACAGAGGTAGGGTGGGGCGAGGCCATGGAGGGCTTTGTATGTGAGGACCAGGATCTTGAACTGGATCCTCTGAAGGATAGGGAGCCAGTGGAGTCGGGCTCCCTATTTATATATATATATATATATATATATATAAACTATATCCAGTTTCTGCATCACAATTTTGACCTACCGAATATCTTGCTTTATACTGTAATCTTAATTCACACTATAAAGTGAATTCTCTCTCTTGCCCATAGAGAGATAACCTATTTGACAAGATATATTGCTATTTCTATTAAACATAGAAAGATTCTTGTGTTTTCCTATCCAGTCCCTCTTGAGTTTTATGCAAGCTACAAAGGAATTTGGTGTCTTATCAAAATGAATTATCGTAACATGAAACCTGAAGTTAATTGGAATGGAGCAAGTTACAAGCACTGGACATTGCATTTTTGTGCAATTTAACTGCAAGAACAAAGTACTTTTCAATATAAATTTTAGTTTATTTCGTTGATACTGAGATTTTTTTTCATTTCAACCACAAAATAAAAACTAGCCATGTTTTTTTTCTCTTGGCAATGGTCTTTTATTTCCCCTGAGGTTGGTTTACAGAGTTTTGTGATTTTTTTTGCTTAAAAAAATCAGAGCAAAGCACTTTATAACAACAAGAACTCAGTATTGGGTACCATACTGAATGAAAGCACCCGTGTAGTGTATATTAAGGAAAGCTACCTTGCCTGACGGCACAGCAGATACCCCACTGGTTGTATTCTTGACACACAATGAAATGGATAATATTATAGCAGGCACAGAGGTGGCCTGGAAGAACAACTGGAAGTCCTCCATGGTTGGCAACAAAACAAATCAACTTCATCAGAGCCCAACACCAGCAAATCAGGTAACTAGTGTTGAAGGCACCACAGCAAAAGCTGTCAACTCCCTATCCTACCCCTCTCCACACTCACGGTTTCTAGACGTGAAAACTCCTCTAAGAACGCCTCCAGGTTTTCCTCAATCACCATTCACATGCTTCCCTTCTCCAGGGAAGTCTGGATTATTCCATTGAGAAACTACTACTCCAGCCTGTTGAAAGATATTGTGCTGGAGGACTGAGAGATCTCTGCACTGTCTGTGCCTTTTCATTCGCCCTCTGGAGCCAGCAGCCTCATGCTACTGCTCCTCATCGCGTGCCTCCACCTCCTTTACAATGGGTGCATGACCTCTGCATTGTCTGCCCAGTTTTGCTGAGTCCCAGCGATCCTTGTCTAAAGCTATGAATGTGGTGGCAAGACTCCTTGTGCACCAGCTACTTGTGACATCAGATTCCAAACCTAACCACTGAGAGTTCCACATAAGTATGGTTTCCATTTGTCTGGTATGGAGCACTCTTCATCCCCTCTATCCCAGAGCAACATGCACACCTAATCCCAGAGGGTTTAGATGCATGTTGGCAAGAGCTAAGGCCTGGGGAATCCAAAGTATGGCTTGGAATACTGCTGGAGTTTAACCAGAAGAAAATGTGCATCTTAACATTGTGCACACCAGCAAAGTTCCTGCTGCTCATCCAGCCCACTTACCTGTTAAGCACTGTGGATTGCTAGCACTTGGAGTTAATGGACACCATGCCGGAAGAAATACAACTCTCAGTAACTGGGCTGTTCCTGGAAATCCTGCTAAATGTTGGTAGTCATGCTGCCTACTTTGTTATCAAAGTGCCCTGAGGTACTGCGGACACACTGGCTCAGGCACCAGACTATTAGGACCACCTGATAGGATTGACTCAATTCCACTCTTCCATTCCCGTGTAACACTTGGGAGCCAATTAAGCTCCAAAGAGTCTACTCTGCCTACTTTCTTCTCTTAATCCTAACCTTTCTCAAGCATCTCCTCATGGAGTTAGAGTAACTAGCATAGCCTGAGGGTTTACCATTCCCTTAATAACTTTTGTGTGCAGAACTGGTAACCCTAAAGAGAAGTGAGAATGTAATTTGTTTTGTTTCTGGCAAGCTGTCAGACTGTCCAAACTTTATTGCAATGCCTAAATTCATTAACCAAATGTTCCTGACATTTTTGAAAGTTGCCTGTTGGCACACTGTTTTCTTTATTTTTCATGTTGGGTGTAACATGAGAGCAAAATGAGCATCAGAAATAACAGCACATTTAAAAAAAGGAAGAGCGAATTATAATAATAATAATAATCCTTGCATTTGATATAGCGCTTTTCACATCTTCTGAATGTCTCAAAGCGCTTCACAGAACATGCTGTAAAGTGAATTGACTGTATATTTTGGGCGAAACGCAGCAGCCAATTGCGCACAGCAGTGTCCCACAAACAGTCGTGGATTGAAAATGACCAATTTATTATTGTTTTGTTTTGGATGGATTATTATTAGGCTCTGTGTGGGGTAAGGAAACTTGCCCAAGGTTTCGCCCTGACCTGCCTGGAATTGAACCCAGGTGTCTCGCTTGCAAGGCGAGTGCTCTAACCACTGAGCTACAGGACTCCGATGAAATGGGAGAGGAGAGATGCAGTCAGAGACAGGAACCTTGGAAATGTTGAGTCTGGAGGTTAACTATAATTAACCCTTGTATTCAAGTCCCTGCACTCCTCTGCACACCCCCAATCCCCCTCTCTGACCTCCTCTCTCCTCAAAACAGTACCTGTTGCCTTCGTTCCTCTGGGTCTGGCCTCCTCCTCGTTAATGAAGGTTAATGAAGTTGAATTAGCTTCTCAAGACATAATAACTTCCAGACACAAGTTGAGAATGTGACCTCCCATATCTTGGAGTAATAGCAATATAAAATGGGATTGTAAATGTGGTGATTTTATTTCCTTAACAGCTGGCACGCTCTGCTACGATTTTTATCTAAATGCTCTGCTGATTCTTTTTGCCATGTTTATGAACATCCATTCAGGGCAGTATTGATTGCAGTTCATTCCTTCTAGTTGCAAGTGGAATTGTTACTGTATTGAAGCCTTGAAAGATGCAATATGTACTCAGTACCTGTGGAGAAGAATGTTCTAATATTGGTTCTGCAATCAGTCGGCTCTTTAAATAAACTTTGCGGTTAATAATAATTCTTGCATTTAATGTAGCGCCTTATCATGTCATCAAGATGTCTCAAAGCTCTTCATACGTTTTCCTACAGCCTCGTTAGGTTCCTCCCCCACCTCCCACTCCTCACCCCTTCTACCACAGTACCAGTATTCCATGAGCAGGAGTCTAGTAAAGTGGCTGCTCCCTATTTGAAGTTGCGATTCAGTGAGTGATTCCAGAGGCCATATACTGCCTGTGGAGGTGACGAATGCAGCAGTGTAGGCACTTACTACAAGAGCAGAAATGTTCCCCATTTTTTTAAAACTAACCCAATTCAACGAAAATGTATACTAATCCCTTGATCCTCAGGCTATAGAGGTTATCACACATTCACTGTCACTTCTGGACTTGGCAACACATTTTTCCTTACATTGCTGCAGGCCTATGGACACTGCTGGAGTTGTGTCTTCATGCACCAAATGGTTCTGTGTGTTCTCAGCTGTTTTCACTGCAACGTCGACGAGAGCACTAATATCACAGCAAAACTAGCTAAGCATAACAAAAGTTTCAGTGCAATATTATGAACCAATTCTGGTAGAGTAAGTATAAAAATAATTAATTTGAGCATTTTGACTGCTCACCATGTTCTTTTTCCTTCTATTCTTTAATCCACTGCAATACATTCTGTGGAGCACTTTGAGATATTTCCACGACACGATAAGGCGCTACATGAAATGCAAGGATTATTGTTATTTTTTCTTTGTTAACTTTAGATTTGATCTGCCTCATGATTCAGGTAGATAGAAAAAGGCCATTCTGTCATTTCTATTTCAAAGAAGTGTGCAAACTTATTCTTTAATTGTTCACTCCCTAATCCAAATTTATCCTGAAATTCAAATGACTTGATTGCTCATCTCATTGTTATTTATGAAACATTACTGGTCCTGATGAGTTGCCATGTTTACTTACAGAACAATATTCACTTTGTTTCTGATCTGATTAACTCCTTCGGGGGAGGTAAATAGGATCTCCTTGATGCTGAGCTCACTCTAAGGTGCCATACTTGGCAATGGGATGTCTGTGAAAATCTTGGCAGCCTGGCTGATCAGTCAAACTTGGAAGGGGTAAGGATTCTGCTTCCCACTCAGCTCCTATTAACTCTGCAAGCCAAGGCCTAGCTGGACAAGCAGTGGGAAGCTTTGCAGACAGTGCTTTCAGTGGCAAGCTATGTGGTTTTACCTGGTTAAATTCTAGCAGCACCACAAACATTGGATCTTGCCCACCTGTGCTCAAAACTCTCTGGAATTAGGTAAGCACTCTCTGGAATACAGTGGACTGTATATTGTGTACTCTTGTGACTTACAGTAGATTATAATGAGCTGATTGACTGATCCTCAGTTAGCACATTTCAGTTGAAGAACACCGGTTAATTAAATTAGGAATTGTATGATAAATTATATAACCTAATTTCTAATTTCGGTTTGCCTCTTGTGGGGTAAGATCAGATTTGTTTCGCCCCCTCTTTCGCCACCTTCAAAACCCACCGTAAGACCCTCCTCTTTGACCGTGCTTTTCTATCTCCCTGGTTTCCCCCCCTTGCCCTCCCCCACGCCAACCCTCGGGTCCGTAACTCTGTGTCCTCCCAACGTGAAAGGCGCTTTACAAATGTAATTTTGTTGTTGTGTCATAAAATTAGCAAATACATCTAGTCAGTTTTCAACTAAGTAGTAGCCCAGATGTCTTGCCATCATTCACTCATTTCACGCAGCTGGAAACCTGACCATGGCAACATATAGTAAACGTGGTGAAGAAAAATAGCTATTAAAATATTTCAGCCTTCCTGGTTCAATTCAAGCAAGCGTGGCAGGTGGAATTGCCAATGTGAGCAAGATTGGTACCCACACGAGCCACACCCCTTGTGCCAACAGTCATTTTAGTGGTTGACTATCAACTATTAGGCCACCAGATTGAAGGGTGATGTCTCCATTAAGTCAGTTTTTTTTAAATTACCGTCTGTTTCGTGAGATATATTTTGTTAGATTTAAAAATGAATTCATTGAGAATCGAATTGCCTGAAAATGTGTGGCAGAGCATTTGTTACATTACTAAACAGAGCCATCTTCTGGTTAGATTGTTATCCACGGCTTTTACCTACATACCCATCTTTGTCGAGTTTCCCCAGTGTACGTATTATTTCTTGTGCTCCTTTGGTGCAAATGTATTTCACAAATATTAGCAGTCCCTCCGCCTCGCCCCCACCCTTGCCTCCTTCAAGACCCATCTCAAGACCCTCTTCTTCGATCACTCTGCTTCCCCTAGCTCTGGGCTGACCTCCAGATGTGAAAGGTGCAATACAAATGTAATTTTGTTGTAGTTGTTGTATTTGAGGGTATTAAAAACTAACATCCAAGTTTTTAATTTTCTTAGGCATTTTAAGTTGCACATTTGCAGAAACCCATAGTTGGATGTTAAAACAAAATCTATTTTCTCCAAAATTAGTTCATTCATTTCTAATACCATATTTTTCTAGATTATGAAATGGAATGGACCAAATGGATAGAATGATAATTTTATTCCAATACTTGAGCCACATGAAATATAAATGGGCATTTACCGTAACCCTGAAATCCCACTCAGAGGTGCAAAAATGGCTTAGAATGTGATGTGAATTTTGTGTTGATGATTGGCTTATGGTACATTTACTCCCGAAGTATTAAAATAGTGGTCATGTATTTGTCTGAATATTCTGAGCCTCACTTTTGGATTTGACATTAATTCTCAGATCTTCATTTCTAATGAACGTCCCAAGTATGGCCAAAGAAGTTCAGTTTCCTTGTTTATGCTAAACTTTTATTTTCTGCTTAGCAATGTCTAATTCTCTACAAAGCACAATGTTTGTCTCACAATTGAATGTTGCTCCCATTTCTGGGACGATCTTCCTTTGTCTCCTTCAAACTTAAGAACATATGTTATAAGTGAGTTCATAGATATTTTTTCATTTTGATTCCTCAGCCATGTTTGCTTGGTTTGGATGAAGAAGGGTCTGCGGCCATTAAATCTAAGACAACAGGGATGCAGGGAGGAGGAAGGATATATGAATTGACATAGCTGAGTGCAGTGAACGAAGTGAAGAAGCTTGGCAGGACAATACCAATAGTTACTGGTAAAACACACAAAAAAGGTTCAACAAAGAAAACAAAGGACATCTTCTCGATGTGAAAGGCGCTCTATAAGTGCGATTTATTGTTGATGGTGGTGTTAATGGGTTTAAAACATAAGCTGGTGGAATGGAATCTGATTGTGAGGATATGTATGAAACATTAGGTACATTTCTTGGAACCAAGAAAAGGCAACTTGTCTGAGATTCATGGCTTTGAAGGAAGAGGAGATTCAGCAGAATATTTTCTTGGGAGATTAACTAGGAGCAGGCCTGATGGGATGAGGGGACTTTTGTTCCTTATGTTTTAAACTTATAATGGCAGTCTATTCAAGGTAAGAAGTGTAACTTTATGATTTGCAGAATCTGAACATGTTTAATTGCACAACCATTTCCAAAATGCTGTGTGAAATTAGTGGTACAACTGTGACTTCCTTCCCTTGCTTGTGCACTATAAAGTTTGCAGTATATTAAAAATAGCTTGTGAAAAGACTGATATGCATCTTGCATGTATTCTCTACTGATACTTGGGCAAAGTTTCCAAGGAATGGCTATTTACAGTTGAGGAAATGGGGTTTGTCAATGGCACATTGTAGGTTTCCGCTATGACCTCTGTGCATGCTTAAGAGTTTCATTGACATATGTTCGGGTGACATATTGTATAAAACTAGCACAGGGGAAAATGAGTGATTGATGATATTTTTTCCCACTGTTCACTTACTGCTTGGCATTGCCACCAATACTGTTATGTTGCAGTGAAGCTCCAGACAGTGTGTGTATATTAAATGCAGATCTTCAGCTACTATTCTGCATTATTGCAATGCCTGTGTCTTAATTAATGGGAATTGTGTGTTAGGGCACGGTGCACAACGGCTAAAGAAGATGAATTGCCTAAATGAGTGTCTGTCCATTTAATAAGACCTGCAGGCACATAATGTCCCTTGATGCTCTATTATCAAGACAGATCATTCTAATTAACCTTGTTTCTTGCAGACCAGCAATCACCTCCTTGGCCCCAAACCATTCCCTCTGGATAGGCTGTTGGCAATTTTCTACAGCATTGTGGATAGTAGAGTTGCTCCCACTGCAAGTATATTCTCTCAGGTGAGTTGGCAATGCATCAATATTAACTGTTGCTATTGGGAAATCTGAAAAAGTTACTGTGTCTGAAATGAAAACATCACATCACTTTGAACATTGCAGAACATTCGTAACAAACTTTGATTGTTAGTGTATTTGGTGAAAGCTGAATTAAAGAAACTCAGTGTTGTTTTGTATAAAATTGCAGCATTGCAATGCCTTATTGTTTTGATTTCTGCAGTAGCTGTCTCCTGTTACTTGGTCCGCATAATTGCAATCTGTATACCTATTCTGTTTACCGCTATTCACTTATTAAATCCACTGAGGTATCCTTAATGATCTGCAATGTTTTCTATAGAACTCTCTCTCGAGCAATGAACCTGGAGAATTGCTTTTTCCTATGAAATTCAGTCCATGCTAATCTTTAAATCACTGGACTGAAGACACATTGGTGGAACACTCTTTGACAAATAGAAGTACGTTTCTGGGTTAAAGAGTAACCCTCCAGAGCAGTATCTATTGTTTATTTGTATTTCATTTAAGATTGCATAATTTAGGTGTTTATTGTTTGCAACAGGGTAGAAAATGGCAGCTCATAGCTACTGTACATTTCAGAAATTACACAGGACTCTGAGCTGGCCGAGTAGAAACTCTTTGTAACCAAACAGAAGAAAGCAATCCAGACTTTTCTCCAATCTTGCTTGCTATTATCCTTCTATTGTTTTTTTGGTCAACTCGGTATCTAACACATGTAGAAACCAAACTAGACAGAGTGTCTGGAATGGAGAACCTTGGAGGGATCCAGCTTGCTTACTTAAGTTCACTCACTTGTATTTCGTCCACAAAAATCCGTAGTCAATTCACATTACAGTACATTCTGTGAAGCGCTTTGAGACGTCTCACCGAAGTGACAAGGCGCTATCTCAAATGGAAGGATTATTATTTTTATTATTATCCCAAGAGTTTTAGGCACAGCTTGGCAAGAATCAAGGCATGAGGACCCCAACGTGTGGGTTGGGGTACTGCTGGGGTTTAAGCAGCTAAAACAGTCAAGCTTGCCATCAAAGCAAAGTCTGGCAACCTTCCTACACTTTATCTAGCTCAGACCATCTTACCTAGTTTGCAGTATTGATGGAGACCAAGAGAAATAATCTGCCACCTTCAAAGATTACTTATATGAACCCCCAGGTCTCTCTGTTCCTTCACCCCCTTTAAGATTGCACCATCAGCTTATATCGCTTCTCCTCAGTCTTCCTCCCAAAATTCATCACTTCACATTTCTCCACATTAAACTTCATCTGCCACGTTTTGCCCATTTTACCAGTCTGTCTATGTCCATTTGCAGTCTGCTACTGTCCTCCTCACGGTTTACTACTTTTCCTAGCTTAGTATCGTCTGCAAACTTGGAAATTGTATACCCAAGTCCAGGTATATAGATAAATAATAAATAGTAATCCTTGCATTTGATATAGCGCTTTTCACGTCGGGAGGACGTCCCAAAGCGCTTCACAGAACACACTGTAAAGTGAATTGACTGTATATTTGTGGGCGAACGCGGCAGCTAATTGCGCACAGCAATGTCCCACAAACAGTCGTAGATTGAAAATGACCAATTTATTATTGGTTTTGGTTTTGGAGGGATTATTATTAGGCTCTGTGTGGAGTAAGGAAACTTGCCCAAGGTTTCGCCCTCTGCCTGGAATTGAACTCAGGTCTCTCGCTTGCAAAGCGAGTGCTGTAACCACTGAGCTACAAGACTCCACAAAAAGATCAAAAACAACAGTGTTCCAATACTGACATTTGGGGGATACCACTGCACACTTCCCTCCAATCAGAAAAACAACCTTTTACCACCACTCTCTGCTTTCTGTCTCCCAGCCAGTCCTGTATCCACGCTGCCACTGTCCCATAATACCGTGGGCTTCTATTTTGCTTACAAGTCTCTTATGTGGCACTTCATCAAATGCCTTTTGAAAATCCATATAAACTACGTCAACTGCACTACCTACATCCACCCTCTCCGTTACTTCATCAAAAAACTCTTATCAGGTTCGCTGGACATGATTTGGCTTTAACAAATCCGTGTTGGCTGTCCTTTATTAACCCATATTTTTCTCAGTTCAAACTTATTTTTTCCCAGATTATAGTCTCTAAAAGTTTCCCCACTACTGACGTTAGGCTGACTGGCCTGCAGTTCCTGCGTTTATCCTTCTGCCCCTTTTTGTACAGTGGAGTAACATTTACAACCCTCCATTCCTCTGGCACCCACCCCGGATTGAAAGATTGTGGCCAGAGCCTCCGTTATTTCCACCATTACGTCCCTCAGTAACCTAGCATGCATCTTGTCCGGACTGGATGACTTATCTACCTTGAGAGCACCGACAACCTTTTTAGTACCTCCTCTCGGTTTATTCTTATCTTATCCAATTTCTCTACCCTCTTCTCCGATAATGTGGCATTAGCTGCATCCTCTTCTTTTGTGAAGACAGATGCAAAGTACTCATTCAGTACGTCAGCCTCCACAAGAAGATTTCCTCTTTGGTCCCTGATTGGACCCACCCTATCTTTGAGTAACCTTTTATTCTTTATATGCTTATAAAATACTTTAGGGTTCCCTTTTATGTTGCCCCTCTTATTTGATGAACGTTAAAGATCCCAGGGCACGATTCGGAAAGAGAGAAGGGTTTTGCCCCTGTACTGGTTAACATCCCCCAAATAAAATTGGTCATTCACTTCATGATAGTTTTAGGTATTGTTACGTGCAAATTAGCTGCCTCAATTGTGTACAGAATACAGTCACTGCATTCTGCAAAGTAGTTTGAGACATTTTGACAATGTGGTAGTGCGCTATTCAATTGTAAGAATTATTATTGATTATTACAATTGTGAGATTATTTCAACGTGTTTATTGAACGCTGATATTACAGAGCTGCTAAGAGCGAGCTTCAGTGTTCCAGGATGTGTCTTTGTATGTATATTTATTGCTCCTCCACAGTGAATGCCTTCCTGTTCTACTCCAAAAGGCCATATTGGTATATTTTCCCCTTTAATTTTCAACTATTGTATTAAACAGCTCTACCACTGGGTGGTAGTGTTGTCATAAGAGTGCTATGGTTTACAATTTATGATCACAAAATTGGTTTGGATGAAGTAGGACATGGAGCCCATTAAATCTCATCCATCCTACCATCCTCCTGTCATAGCATCAAGCTGTTTTTTTAATTGAGTCCCCTGTCCTGGCCTCAACCACTCTTCTTGGAAACCCTCTTCCAGTCGTGGGTCAAGAAATACTTCCTGGTGTCTATCCTGAAATTGCCCTTTACAATTCTAAACCTGATTCTATCACTTCCTTGCATTATATTATTACGGATCTATTTTGTAATAAACAGTGACTGTCAATATGGTATAGTGTCAGGTAACTTCAACTGCATTGACAGCAGCAGCACAGGTTAACTAAACTTGCATGTAGACATCCTGGAGTTACTCAAGCTGTCTAGATAAATTATAGGCTACAATATAGTTGCTGGCAAAAGTTAACAGAAAAGGTACATATTGGTTTGTATCCTTTAGGAATATAGAGGGCATTTTGTATTGAGATTTATTTTGTAGTGAAATGTTTATTTCTGTCTGGTAGTTGCTGTCTCTGTTTATTTGGTTATAGGAAGATGTTCCACATGTGCATCATTGAATTATCCACAACATATTTGTTTCTGGACTGGCAGATACTTCAGACGATGGCAATGATAATAATGATAATAATAAATGCATTTTTGTGACTTGGTGTTTTGTTTGTTCATCTGAACTTTTTTGGGGGGGAGGATTGCTTATTGTCTCTCATTCAAGAGTTACCTGCCAATTTAACCTATGAATGTTATATACAAAATATGTTACACACACATCAAACATGAATATGTATTATTGAAGTAATTGCTACTTCTTTTTTTTAAAAAACACTCCTCAATATGTTTTGACTTGATATCTAATTCTGATCCTGTCTTCATCCAATGGCCATGCATGAACTTTCCAAACAAATTACTGGAATGTGATTAAGAGAGGAAATCTTGGCTAATTTTCCCCTCTCTAACCCAGTAAATGAGATTGATTGTAGTGCCCCTACTGCTACTTGGCTGAGATCAGCTAACTCATGAAGCCGTGAGGAGATCTAAAACATATTTTTATTTTGAAGAATCTTTTCTAATTGATAGTTCATACAGATAGACAGTGAATTCCTGTTGTGATGTGACAGACCCTAACAAATCAAAATATCACAACAGCGTATTCCGTAACCTATTTTAATATGAACCGAAAAAAACTCGCAAATTAGCACCCAGTCAGGAATTGAACAATAATAATCCTGCATTTGATATAGCACCCTATCATGTTCTTCAGACGTCTTAAAACACTTCACAGGATATATTGTGAAGTGGATTGACTGTGTATTCTGTGCGTGAAATGTGCATAGCAACGTCCCATACCAATGGCCATGGAGTGAGTGACCAATTTTTTTTGGGGGGGATTTGTTGGCCAGGTCACTGGGAAAAACTGCCTTTTTTCAAATAGTGCCATGGGATCTTTAACGTCTACCTGAACAGGCAGACGGGAGACTTGAAGCAGTAAGACAGATTTAAAACTGAACATTTTGTTTTGAGTTGCACCCGTATGCATCTTTCATTGCCTGCAATGTGTAGTTGAGGGAGTATAAACCAGATTGGATTAATGTACAGTATCAGTTGGAGGAAAAGGTATGATGGAGATTGAGACCCACTAACAGTTCCTACTGTTTACTACACAGCAGGAATCCAAAACCCATTGAGGATAAAAAAAATTGCATTGTAGTTTACCCTTTGTTTCCCGAAAGGCACTTTTGTTTTTCAAGATCTTTTTATTCTTGTGTGCAATCTGTAAAAAAAAATAATACTTTCCCATAAGCTTGCAACAAATATACAGTTTAGCTCTTTGAACTTTTGGAATAATCGACATTGTAATTCTGTTTATGTTTCTGATTTTTTGACACAAATCTACTG